GGTTGAAAACACAGTGCTTTGTTTCTTTGCTTCCTTCAAGAACTCGTTTCAGTGTGTTCTCCTAAAAACCACAGCTAGCAAAGCCACTTTGTTAGGTAACCTGGATGTGAGGCTGCTTAACTCCACCACGTGCAGCACCAGGAGCTCTGCAGTGGCATTTTGGGCCGAGCAAGACTTCTCCCTCCTGTTTAAAATCACTCGACACACTTAAGAGATTTAGCAGTGTGACCTGTGCTAACCTCTTGGCTCCCCAGGCACCTTGGAGATGGTGGGAATTAAAGCCCACCAAGGCTTCAGGGAGGGGAATTACGTACTCACTGGAGGAGGAGGAAGCAGAAGGAGTGAGTTGAGGAGTTGGTTGTGGTCTGCCAGCCCCACTCAGCCTGGCAGGGCTGTATTGGCACCTCTCAGCTGCTGTTTGCATTAGACACATCCTTTCCCTGAGGATCTATTCTTTGCACGTCCTACAGCAGCAAAGCTTCATTTCCTCTTGCTGAGCTGGTCAGCAGGACCTTGTCTTGAACCTCCATCCCACCTTGCTGCTCACCACAACCTCATGAAGAGAAGGGAAGGCTGAAGATGTTTTCTCTGTTCATCCTCTGTGACTCATTTTGCCCATGGTCCCTTTATTAATGTTCTGTCTAGGTTTTCTCTGAATAATTAAGAGCCTCATTTGCTAAAAGAATGAGATCTCTCAAGGTACCTGCAGTCAGGAGCATCTTTCCCCCAACCAGGAGCTGCTGTGATTGAGCTGCTGACAGGAATTGCTAGTGGAAAACAAGCAAACACAGATCTGCAGCTTTGCCATTCAGCTCTGTCTCTTGCAGCACGAGATTTGTCTCCTTTTGAAGCAAGAAAAGCATAAATCAGGAAAGATGAGGGCTGGAGAGGGCACAGAGGATGTCTCAGTGGGAGATCCCACGTGGGGAGGGATGTGCTGCTGGTCTGGGGTACAGCTGAAGCCCCTTTGAAATGCTCAGCAGATGGAATTAGTGCTGCTGGAACATCTCCACTGAGGTTGTCTCATTGCTAAGCACAGATTTAGGGCTTTTTTTTTTTGTGGAAATCACTGGTGATAAATGGGTTTTCATTAGGTTAGAAGAGGGAAAGGCTGCAAAGGAAAGTGCTCCCAGCCCCATCCATCACACAGCTCTGCAAGGGAGAAGGGACTGTGAGCACAGGACACAGCACAGAGCCACTCTCCAGATTATTCTGGCAAGGAAGAGGGGGACAGTGACAAGGGAAGTGGCTTCTGGTCCTGGTTCCTGGTGGAGGAGCAGAGCCAGGGCTGGGAGAGCTGACAGTGCTGCACACACAGCACAGCACCACGTGTGTGGTGGAGCAGAACTTCCAGACCTCCTTGTATGACTTATACACCTCCTTGCATGACTTCCAGACCTTCTTGCACAACCTTCAGACCTTCTCACACTCAGCCCAGCCTGTCAGTGGGTCAGTTCATTGCTGTAGGTCAAGGTGGAGTTCTCCAGTGCTGATATAAAATGCACAAGGGACTAGAAGAGGCTTAAATAGCAGCAAATCTGGGTTTCTGCTGTGCTGCTGCCTGAGTGGGTCAGAGCAGCTCCTGGGGACAGTGGCAGCCTGCAATGCTCTCCAAGGAGCTGTGGGAGCTCCTGCTGCCTCTGCCCCACTCTGAGTCCTGCTGAGATGTGCAGCAGCTTGACTTGGGTCCTCCCTCCCAGTGCCTGGGCTGGGTCTCTCCCTGGGGAGAGCTGACTCAGCCAGGTGTGGCACACACAGCTCTGGTCAGATCCACCAACCAGCAAGGACACTCTGGGCTAGGCAATGTTCCTGCCAGGATTTAGGGATCCATTCCCAGCTCCACAGCCACAGAAGAGACCAGTGAGAGCATCACAGTAGAGAACATAAAGACCTTTTCTTCAGCTTTCTCCCATAGCCCAATCCCACCCTTCTCCTTCCACATCAGCGACAGAGATGCAAACCCAACACACCTTGCTTGGCGCTGATCTCTGTTTCCTGTAGGAATAAAGCAGCAACACTGGCATGAGATGGGAAACAAGTCTTCAAAGGTTTTTGCCACTCAGTTGCTTCTCTCCCTTCTTAAACACCCTGAACCAAAGGTTACTACAGTAGCTGCAGCCCCAGACAGATGTGAGAACACTTCATGCAGCAAAAAATGAAAATAAAGGAGCAACTAACCCAACAAACCCAAGCCAAGGACAGAGAAGCTCTTCCCTGGCCCAACAACCCAAGGCCAGAAGGGAAAAGCTCTTCCCTGGCCCCAGCAAACCCAACCCTAGAAGGGAAAAGCTCTTCCCTAGCTCTGCAGGGCTGGAGATCTCCAAGTTTCCTCATCCCTCTGGGAAAGGGAAGGGCTTTGCCTGGCCACCATCCAGCAGAGTCACCAGCAGCTCTCCAGCAGCTTCCCAAGGTGCCAGAGCTGAATCCTGCCCTGACTTGCAGGCAGAGTGTGCAATCTGTGGGTTCCTCTGTGGTCACCAGGGCAGGGAGAGGAGAGGCTGAGCTGCTCCACCTCTCCACAGGGCAGGGAACCCTTCCCAAGGATTACTGTTGTGTTTGCCTGATTTAGAGTGGCAAAGAGAGCAAGAAAACCCACCCAATCCATCCACACTCCTGCAAGGCTCCAAGGAACTCTACACAGACACTGCTCAGTCACTCTGCACAGAACATGCTCCTAGGAACTGCAGGACACACACACAACTCTCCAGGGCACCTTGCTCAAAATTTAGGGCTAGACAACATCTAGGATAAGTCACAACCTTCCCACAGGCCCCTCAGGGCACTAATCCAGCTTGTTCCAAGCACCTCCTGCTCTCCTTTCATCAGGGCAGGTTGGGACCAGTTCCCTTCGCCAGGAATACTGAGCAGGACATCTCTGTGGATTCCTTCCCAATATAAAAGGAGGAGAAAAAAAAAGAAAAAGAGAGAAACCCAGAGCAACTGTGACTTGCTCCATTTAATTTCAATTAACTGCAGCCCTCAGAGGCCAAGGAGAGATGCCAATCCAGCAGCTTGGTGGCCATGCCCTCAGGGATGTCCCACTTCCCAACCAAGCCTCTAACTCTGCTCAGCTGGAAAGTTCTACCAAGTCATTAAATCCCACTGTGTCACACTACTAAAGGCTTTGAAACCTGCAGTTCTTCCTCCAGAGGATGTGAGTGAACAGTGGGAAGGACAATAGTTCTCTGCAGTTAGGACATTGCTACCTCAGGAAGCTCCTGAGGAGGATCAGAGTTACTGGATCCTGTTGGAAGGGCATAGTTAGGGCTAGGGAAGAGGGAAGAGACCTCTCTTTTTGGTAATGGATTCTGTTGGAAGGACACAGGGCTGGGGAAGAGATCTCTCCTTTTGGTAATGGATTTTGTTGGAAGGGCATAGGGTTGGAGAAGAGGGAAAGGAAAAACCTCTCCCTTGGTTCATGGATCCTGTTGGAAGGACACAGGGCTGGGGAAGAGGGAAGGGAGAGACTGTTGTCCTCAGTGTGCTACAACTTCTCCTCCCTCCCTAGGTGGGGGAACAGGCAGCTCATTTGCAAAAGGCAAGTGGTTTCCTAGAAAACTACAGGGAAAAAAAAAAACCCACAAAGGCTGCTCAGCTCCTTCCCTAGAAAACTGTACAAACATTGGGGACACAGTGTGGCAGCAGGGAGGAGGGGGAAGGCAGCACAAAGGACAGTTGCCATCTCTGGGCCATGCCACAGCCAGGGCAGGGGCCAGAGAGGTCTGGTAGGGACTTGAGGATGCTCCTTGTAGAGGCTTCAGGAGCTCAGGGCCTCTCTGCCCTGCAGTGGGTGCTCAGTGGGCAGTGAGTGGCTGTGGCTGCTCTCCACACTGGCCAGGCAGCTGCTGGTGTGGTGGCAAATCCTGCCCAGAGAGGCCTCAGGGCTGTGGTGTGACTGTGACAGCTCTTGGTGCCCAGTCCCAGCTCAGGCTCCCCTGCTCTGGGAGCTCTTCTCCTCACTCAGTGCTCAGTTGCTCTCTACCAGTTTGGCCAGTCCCTGCCGGAGCTCACTGAGCTCGAAGATCTTCACATCCATAATTTCAGCCACTTTGGTCACCTCAGTCTGGATCTTCTCCCTCTCGGCCAAGGTCTCTGCCAGGGTCTGCTCAGCCAGGTGAAGTCTCTGCTCCAGCTCTGCATTCCTGGCCTCCAGCTCCTGCCCAGGGACACACGTGCACTGAGGTGGCTGTGCCAGTGCTGAGCCACCCTGACCACACACCTTATCTCCCCAAACCAGCTGTACCACCCCCACAGTGCTCCCCACACCCAGATGGGTCTCCTTCCTCTCCCTGTCCTGAGTCACAGCACTCTGCTGTGCAGAGTATCATGGTAAGGGGTTGGGATGGAGCTTAGAGATCATCCAGCCCCAACCTTTGCCCTGGGCAGGGACATCTCCCACCAGAACAGGTTGCTCAAAGCTTTATCCAGCCTGGAATGAACTCTGCCAGGGTTGGGGCAGCCATAACCTCCCTGGGCAAGCCAACCTGTTGTCTCATCACAGGAAAACCTCCTTCCTAATATCTAGCCTAAATTTCCCTCCTTCAATCTGAATCCATTACTCCTTGTCCTATCCCCTCTGAACCCTCAGCACAGGGATCCATCCCCACTCCTCCCTGGAGCCACAGAGGAGCTGCCATGCCCATCTCTGCCCTCTGGATGATGGGAACAGCTCCCTGCCTGTGTCTCTGCCTTCTCCCCCTCCCTGTGTCCCTCAGGGTATGACATGGGGCACAGTGAACAGCAATCCCAACCTTCACACACTCTCCTTGAGCAGCCCCTGACGTGGGACTGTGGCAGATCCCGTGGTGTCCTACCACTCTCCCTGCTCTGAGGTCCTTCTGGCTGGGCAGGGAGCAGAGCTCTGACTCAGTCTGGCTGGCAAGGAGAGAGCCAAGCTGCTCTGCACCTCAGGGCATGGCCACAGATGGAGCAGGAGCTATGGAGTCTCTGGGGCACTGCCTGTGTTTCTCTCTGAGCTACAGAGGGAGGATCTCTGCAGGACACAGCCCCATGCACAGCTCAGAGTGACCTCCAAACATCAAGTGCCATCAGACCTGGATGTGATGAGAGCTGCAGTTACCTTCACACTGTGGGCACAGGGGCCTGGGCTGGGGGAACATGTGCTCACATGGATGTGACAGGGATTATATAAGGGTATAAAGAGAAAGGGGATAAATTGGAAGAGGGAAAATTAGGTTAGGTATTAGGGAGAAGTTTTTTCCTGTGAGGTTGGCAAGACACTGGCACAGGTTGCCCCGGGAGGCTGTGGATACCCCAAGGAGGTTGTGGTTGCCCCAACCCTGTCACTGTCCATTCCAGGTCGGCTAAAGCCTTGAGCAACATTCTCTGGTGGGAGGTGTCTCTGCCCAGGGCAGGGGGTTGGGGCTGGATGATCTCTGAGCTCCATTCCAACCCCGAAACATTCTCTCATGATCTCTGTGGTGTCCCTGCCACCCTTACCTGCAGCTTTTGCAGGGTCTCCTCACGCTCCCCCTCTGCCTCCCAGCGCCCACACTTCTGGCTCTTTAGCATCTGAATCTCCTAGAACAAGGAGGAAGAGCATCAAGTCAGATCCATCCCTCTCCCAGTGGGACCAGCTCTCACCCCAAACCCCAGGCAAAGCCCTTCCCTCACTCCCAGGTCATATCTAAGGCTCTTGGAGTCTCCAGGCTCAGGGTCTCCACTCAGCTGTTGGGTGAAAGCCTCTGCATACCTTTGCCCCAGCACTTTTCCTCCAGCCTGAGTAGGGGGGGAGAGATCTCTTCAGCCTAGGAACCCCCAAACACCTCCTCTCCTCACTCTTCCCTTTGTAGCTCCAACCCCAAGGCTCCTGCCCTCCCTCCCCTGTTGAAGCAGGGCCAGCAGACACCCACAGATGTGTAAATCAGAGAGCTCCTCCACCTCTCCCCTCCTCCACAGCCTCTGGAATGAAACCTCTGCTGTAAATCCTTCATTCATTTAAATGCAGCGACAGCAAGAAGCAATTAACTACCCCAGAGGCTAATTGCCACTGCAGATGGCTGAGAGGGGAAGGGGTAAGAGTTCTGCCAAGTGTCTGAGCCCTTCCAATCCAAGCTATGCACTTAGGGAACTCCCAGCACTTCTCTCTGCCAAAGCTTTGCCTCCCTGGAAAGGGAATCACTGAGGAGCTGAGCTAGGGGATGGAGCTCCTGGATGGCACAGGGAGCCACAGAGAGGCTGCAGTGACTGACAGGGGGATGGTGACTGACAGGACATCCTCAGGCTCTGCTCCTTGGGGTGCTCCAGCCTCACCTCATCTTTAGCCTTGATCAGCAGTTCCAGTTCCTCCAGGGTTTGGCTCAGGTCTTCCTTGTTGTTCTCACTGGAGGAATCCTGAGTGCCCTGGGACTCCAGCTCTGCTACCTGCATGGCACAAGCACAGGGAGGGTTCACTCAGAGCCTCAGGGATGTTCTGGCTCCTCAGCACTCACACTCATTCTCTGCCATGGTTTGGCTTCCTTGCCAACCCACCTGGGGTGACAGCAGGGGAGCAGCTCCCACCTTGGGGCTGCTAGAAGAAAATTCCTTCTGCCCTGGATCACACACAGAAACACTTTATGGCAAATAAAACCAGGTTAAAGACTCTGTCTCTGCTTTCTCCAGGAGCTCTGCACATCCAGCAAAGCTACCTGACTGACAACAAGCACTTGAGCCCCCAGCCCAAAGGGATGGCAAGATCCAGCTCCATTTCCATCCATTTCCAAGGCCAAGGAGCAGAGCTGGGAGAGTTTGCCTCAGTGTACTCCCCATCCCTGAAAAATTCAGCTCAGTGGCTTAGATAATTCATGAAGATTCATTTTTAACAGCTCATCCAAAGGACTGAAGCTTCTGCCAGGGCTCAAGCTCCCACTGGGTCTGCTCTGAGCTCTATAAACACCTCCAGTGATGAGAATCCTCACTCACACAGGGCCTGGACCTCAGAGCAGGACAACTCTGGCTGGACTGGGACCATGTCAGTGGTGGTTGTGGCTGTCAAGGTCAGTGATGGCCACAATCGACCAGCTCTGAGCCCAGACTGCTCTGGTTCAGAGACACTAACTCAGCTGTTACACTGAGTCACAGTTTCTTCTGTGACTCTGCCCTTCACCTAAGGCTCCCAAATCCTCTCTCCTAGCTGTGGGTTCCTCTTATCATCACCAGGGGAAGAAGAGGAGAGGCAGAGCCACTTCACCTCTGCACAGGGCAGGGAACCCTTCTCCTAGGATATTGCTACCTTTGCCTGATTTATAGTGGCAAAGAGGACAAAACCAGCCCCAAAACAGCCAATCCATCAACACTCCTGGAAGGGAAGAGCCAGAAAACAGCTGAGTCTGCACAGAGCAGTGGCAGGGAACAGCCAACCCCAAACCCACACACACAACGAGATCTCTGCTGCACCCTGGGTAGGCTCCTGCTGCAGAGGAGGAAAATCTGTTCCATGCAGCTCTTTTCCTGCCCAGTTCCAGCTCTGGGAATGAGCCAGGGGCAGGGAGAGTGCTGGGGGATGACTGTGAGCTGCCCAGATTGGCCACACAACAGTCACGGAGTGCAAAGAGCTGTTAATTGCCCAAAATCCCTGCTAGCTTTGCAAGGAGTTGTCTCCAAGAGAAATGCTTCATCCCTCTTCTCCAAGGCTCCAGAGTCCTCTCCCTGCCTCTACCAGCTGTGCTGACATCCCAAGCACTCCAAGGCTCTTCCCTCCCAGCAAACCCACCCGTGTGACTGTCACTTCTCTGCCCAGATGCACACTCAGTCACCCTGTGACCTCCCTGACATTAAGGAGGTCAAAAGATCCTGTTATTCCAAGGGAACAAGGGCCTGTTTGTGCTGCAGCACCAGAGTTTCATGATGTTGCAGCTCAGAATGGAGCTAATTATAGCAGCCAGAGCAATCTTCATCCTTCCTGTCAGCAGCCAGAAGATTGCTCTGATGCCTGGCTGGGGAGGGGCATGGGCCTGAGTCTTGCTGGAAGCTGGGAACTACCTCCAGAAAATCTGAGGGGAAGGTGAATTGCTGTGACTTTCTGCTCTGGTTTCCTTCCTTTATCCATGGGGACTCAGCAAAACCTCTTGCTCTGCACGAGGAGCTCGTGGAGAGCTCCCTAGTTGCATGGCCTTATTCCTTGACATAGAAACAGAGACTCAGAGTCAGCAAGGTTGGAGAAGAGCTCTAAGATCAAGTCCAACCATTCACTTATTACTGCTGTAACCCCTAAACCTTAAACCACAGGATATAGAATCAACAAGGCTGGAGGAGACCTTTAAGGTCATCAAGTCCAACCCTTGACCTGTCACTTCTGGAAGCCCTAAACCCTAAACCAGAGAATCACTGAGGTTGGAGAATGTTCCCAACAGACTGAGCCATGGGGGATTAGCCAACCTGCAACCATTCACTTATTACTGCTGTAACCCCTAAACCTTAAACCACAGGATATAGAATCAACAAGGCTGGAGGAGACCTTTAAGGTCATCAAGTCCAACCCTTGACCTGTCACTTCTGGAAGCCCTAAACCCTAAACCAGAGAATCACTGAGGTTGGAGAATGTTCCCAACAGACTGAGCCATGGGGGATTAGCCAACCTGCACAGAAAGGTGACAAGACAAGGTCCAGAAAGGTGACAAGGTGAGCTCAGGTGACAGGAAAGGTCAGAAAAGAAGGTTCCTCTTGGGAATCTCCCAAAGAGCTGCCCCAAAATGGCCCTGGGAAGGGCAGGGTTGAGGCTGACAGAATCAGAGAATCATCAAGGTTGGAGGAGACCTCTAGGATCATCAAGTCCAACCCTTAACCTGTCACTGCTGCAACCCCTAAATCATATCCTCTAGCACCAGAACCAGATGCCTCTTGAACACCTCCAGGAATGGTGACTCCACCACCTCCCTGGGCAATATCCCAGTGCCTGACATGTTTCCCCCTCCAGGCTCATGCAGCATCCTGGATTTCCATCCCATCTCTGCTGACACCTCTGGAAACTGCTGTGGAAATGGGGTCAAGGACACCACCTGGCTCTGGGCTGGAGCTTCCTCACCCTCTGGCGCAGCGTTTCCGTCTCCTCCTGATAAGCTGTCAGCTGCTTCTTCCACTGGTCCACGTTGGCGTTGGCTTCATGCAGAGCAGCCACGAGTTTGTTGTTGTTGTCCTGGAGGCTGAAGAATTCAGCTTCCCACTGGACCTCACTCACTGAGCTGTGTGAGAGAGCAGGGAGAGTGTTCAGGGGAGCAGAAGAGGTGAGAAGGTTTCTCCTTGCAGTGCTGTCCCCAAATGGCCCTGGGAACAGCAGAGTTGATGGTGACAGAATCAGAGAATCACTAAGGTTGGAAGAGACCTCTAAGATCATCAAGTCCAACCCTTAACTTGTCACTGCTGGAACCCCTAAACCACAGAATCACCAAGGTTGGATCATCAAGTCCAACCATTATCTCCCACTCTGCTGTAACCCCTAAACCATCTCCTCCAGCATTTCCTCAGCATCTCTCTGTTCCTCCACAGGTTTCTATTCAACTCTCCTATCACCTCCCAAATTTAGCCCCTTCTTCCCAGCCCTGAATCTGCACCTTTTTCCTTTATCCCTGGCTAATATTTGCCTTTGAGGCCACATGGGCTTGAAGGTGCAGAAATCACACTGAGATTAACAGGGTGGGCAGATACAGCTACTACAAAGGGGCTTCGCCACGTGGGATTGGGAATCCACTTAAAAATCCTTCTTAGATCAGAGTTTGCTTTGAATAAAGCTCTAGCAGCCCAGGCTCAGGAGAAGGCAGCAAAGGACACTTGGTTTTGATCTAAAAATGCTCTAAGTGTTCAGCTGGGAGCTCGACAGGAGCCACAGGGCACAATCCAAACCTCCTGAACAAAGAGAGGAAGCAGCAGGGACTTTGCTGGAATTACCAGGGGAATGAACAGCCCTGGGCCAGCTGGGAAAGTGGGAACATCTTCTGCTATCACAAACTGCTGAGCTGTAGCTACCTGGCAGCAACTCATCCCCGCTGCAGGCACAAATTCTCCTGCCCACACTGCCTGAGCAGCAGCTTTCACCTCCCAGCTGGAATCACCTCCTGCTGGGGAAGAGGGAGATGGGCACAGTGGAGGGTTTGAGCAGCAGAAGACATGGGGAATTCCACAGAGAAGGAGCATTGGGTCAAAAGTATTTGAGATGACAGGGACATGCACCAAATCCTGTCAGGATAGAGAGTTTGGTTGGCAGCCTTACCCTTCTGAGAGCATCTTCTTCAGCCTCTCCTTCTCTGTCGTGATCTCCACGTCAGCACTTTGGCTCCTGAAGAGTTTATCCTCTCCAGGCCCGTTGGAGCTGATGATGGGGCTGGGAAGGACCTGGGGAGGTGAGGAAGAAGTGGTTTCATCACACAGCAATGAGGACTGGGCACAAAGTCTCTGCAGACATCCCAGGGTGAGCTCTCAGTGCTCTGCCCTGGGCAGCAATCCCAGGGCAGGAGGGACCAGTTCCCAGTGCAGATGAGCTCACAGCTCACTCACCCCAACCATTTCTCCCTCCTGGCTCGAGGCTCTGAGTTGTGTGGCCTCAGCTCCCCTCTGGGAAGTGCCAGGGGTGTCCCAGCCTGTCACTGAGCCCTGTGGCTGTGCATAGCTCTCAGCTGCTCCAATTGGCCTTTTCGGGGGTTTGCTGAATTCTTAAGAGGATTTTCTTGCTGATTCTTCTCAGAGCTTAGACTCCAAACCTACCAGGCCACCTGAGTTCAGCCACAAGTGCAGCTCCTGCACCCAGAATTCAGTCACCAGGTGCCTTGGGATGGTGGTTCTCAGGCTCAGGGGAGGGAAACTGCTATTCTTCAGGTTGCACTTATTTTCCAGAGGTGTGGGAGAAGAAACTCTTCAGTCCCTACACCAAAGTATCTTCTCCATAGCTCCATATTCCTGCACACATCAGAGCTGGCAGGGACAAACAACTTATCCCAATTTACTGGTGAAGAAGCCAAAACAGGGGGTTGGCTCCTGCTGGAGCTCACAGGTAGCCCTGAAATGCCTGTGGTGGGGACAGTCACCTCCCTCTGAGCCCTAAACAGAGCCAGGCAGGACCAGGAGATGCACTGAACATCTTCCTGGAGCCTTCCAGAGGGACTGAGAGGTGAGACCTGCAAACTTCCAGAGGAAACTGAGGCATAGAAGTGTAAGTCTCCTGTCCTGGCGTCTTGTGCCAACTGAAAGTGGTAAGAGTTGAAGATGTCTCACACTCCTCTGACTCTCACATCACCCACAGGGACATACCCTGGGATGGAGATGCTAATTGGGATGGGGATTAGCCTAAAAGGGACTGGAGGACAACCAGAGCTGCTATTCTGGGAATTCCCTAGCCCTGACAATGTGAAGCATAAGGAAACTAGTGCAGCTGCAGAGAAGGAGGGAGGCCTGATTTAATTGCAGCAGACAGAGCTGCTCTCTGCTCACTTGCAAGCACAAACACGATCAATTATTCAGAGGTGAAACTCATGTCTGAAGCTCTGCTGATGCCAGAGCCTGGGAAGGAGCAGCAGGACAGTGGGAGAAGGATGGAGGGGAAGGTAGGAATGCAGGACAAGGCAGAGGTTCTGCCACTTAGAGCTCCAGGCTGAATGGGAAAAGGGAGGGAGTGTGGTGGTTTCACTCTGGGGCAGTTTCAGCAGTGCTGAGGCAAGTCACAAGAATCATAGAATCATAGGATTTTAGGGGTTGGGATGGATTTAGAGATCATCTAGTCCCAACCACCTGCCCTGGGCAGGGACACTTCCCATCAGAGCAGGTTGCTCAAGGCTTCATCCAACCTGGAATGGACAGTGCCAGGGTTGGGGCAGCCACAGCCTCCTTGAGGCATCCACAATCTCCTTGGGGCACTCACAACCTCCCTGGGGCATGCACAGCCTCCTCTGACCTAGGTAAAAGTCAGTAATTACCCAAAACTGGTCAATAATTGCCCAAAACTTTGGTTCTGCTAGGAACACTCTATTCTACTCTACTCAGCTCTCCTCTATTCAACTCTACTAAACTCTATTCCTCTCTGCTCTACTCAACTCTGCTCCCTTCTTTCCTTGCCACCCATTAGGATGGGGCTCAGAGTGAGCAGGAGCCAAAAGCTAGGCAGATTTCTCTGACTTTTCCACCCCCCATGCCATTTGCAGTCTCTGCAGAGCCTCCACCTCCTCCTCCTCCTCCTCTCCGTGCAGGCCAAGGTGCTGTTCTCACTGCCTCCTCCTCCTCCTCTGCTGCCACTCCATCTGTGCCCAGCCCAGGGAACGCTGTGTCCTGCATCCCACTGCTCCTTCTCCTGCTGCCAGGAGCTCTGGGGAGTGCAGAGGCACCTCTGGAGTGAACTCTTTGGGAGGGCACCTCAACCATCAGCACCGAGCTGCTTCTCCATGGGGAAAAGCAGCACAGAGCTCTCCACAGCTGAGCTTCTCCCTCCTTCCCAGTGCTGTTGGAGTGGGTTTGGCTACCCAGGGAGAAAAGCAGCAACTGGCAGTGCCAACACATGTGAGGATGATGTGTGATGGGCTCCAGCTTTCTGGCTTGGTCTCCTGGGGGAAGGAGAATTCAGTGACTGGTTGTCACATGCAGCTGTGCCTGAGGGGAGAATTCCCAAGGGGATTCCTGCTCTGACAGCACAGCTTCTCTGCCCCACTGGGAACAGGACAGACACAGCATTCCTCAGCCACCAGCTCTAAGAAATCCATTGATAGCATCATCACCTAGCAGAGGCACTTGGAGAAGTACCTCCTGCAGCCTCAGAAAAGGAGAAAAAATGGTTGGGAATGCTGTGTGTAGTCCTTATTATGAGCTTCAACCAGGGGCCATGGACTCTGCATGTTGCTGGGCTGGAACTAAGCCAAGACAGAGCTCTAAAGACAAAAAGGAGCACAACAAAACCCACCAGACCAAACCATCCCAAGCACCACCACCACTACAAACCCCTCACACCTCCAGTAAGGCTTTGTGAGACATGGAATGGGTTTGATAGCTGAGCTGGCAAAGAGGGAGGAGTGTGAACCTTCCTGGAGTTCCACTGAGGCACTAATTAGATCATCTACTTTGTGTGTTTGAGCAGAGTGACCTCAGGGCCACCAAAATCACTGTCCAACCTCAGTGGGTGGCAATGAAGCTCTTAGAGGGAAGGGGATGAAAGAGATCAGCACAGTGATCATCTTCTCTCCTTTGTGCCTCTGTCCAAGCATTACCTGGTGGGATGTGATGTTCAGGGCAGGATTGGTCAGCTCTGTCTTATCCTGGGACTTCTCCCTGGCCAAACGAGCTGCTTCTTTCACTTCCTGGAACTTCTCTGCAAACTGGAAGGAAGGGAAAAGTCATTGCAGTGCTGCACTGAAATGAGGAACCACAACTGGTGTCTGGGTTACTCCTTCCTCTGCAGCTTCATTCTTTAGGCTTCTAAATTTATCTTCAACAACAAAATTGTGGGAACAGCCCCTTCCTGCCTGGGAGTCTCACCAGGCAGTGAGTTTAGCTCAACAGTAGTGACAGAAATGGGGGCCAAAGAATCATAGATTCACAGATTGTTAAGGGGTTGGAATGGAGCTTAGAGATCATCCAGTGCCACCCACCTGCCCCAGGCAGGGACACCTCCCACCAGAGCAGGTTGCTCAAGGCTTCAGCCAACCTGGAATGAACAGTGCCAGGGTTGGGGCAGCCACAGCCTCCCTGGGCAACCTGGACATCATGTCCCTAATGCCTCTTCTCTCCCCTTTAGGCTTTCAGAGCCATTTCGCTGCAGCATTACCTGGGAGAGATGTTGCTCCGAGGCAAAGCCCAAGCCATAGACAGTGTTGGCTCTGCTGTCAGCCCACTGGCCAAACTTCTGGGATGTCTTTGTGAAGGTCATGTTGGGGGTGATGGTGCTGTTGATGATTGCCTGGAGAGAGAGGCAATGGGAGTCAGAGGAAGCTCCAGGGATTGATCATAGAATTAGGGGATCACAGAATGGTTTATGGTGGAAAGGACTTTAAAGATCTTCTCATTCCACTCTCCTGCCGTGGCCACTCACTGGATCACTACAATCCCTGTGAACTCTAGGGTAGAAATCTCTGGGGTTTGGTCTATAAAACAGTTCAGGCTCTTGGTGACCAGAAGTCTTTCTAGTCTGACTACGTGACAGGAACAAAACTCATTCATTTCATCTACTAGAGGAGGCAAAAAACCTCACCTGAGTATCACCAGGTTCCTCCACTGCTGGAAGAGATGCTAAGAGACAGCTTGTCTCCGGGGACTCAACAACTTTCTGATGTTCTCCATTTTCATGGCAAGTAAGGAGAAAAAAAAGGCTTAAGCAACACTCAGGACTAGCTATTACACAACTCTCTCTGCTGGGTAGGGGAGCAGCTGAATACACTGCCTGGGATGACTCTGCCATCACAGGGCTTCAAGAACAAGGCAGGAAAGTGCCCCTCAGGACAGTTTAGAGAGAGTAAATTGGAAGTGATGAAGCTTTGAGACTCCTTCAACCTCTGTTGGTTCACTGTCTGCAGGGGCTGGACCTAGCACAGGGAAAAACTCTTGGAAAACACCTGTGTTTTGCATGGGAATAAGAGTAGAGTGGGGAAGAGAGAGGGAAGGACAACATCAGACCTCAGGGCATGTTTTTCATCATCAGGGATTGCAGTGTCTGACCCCAGAGCATGGAGGCAATGATGGGTCACCATTCCAATACCAATGGGCATGGTGGGAACTGACCAACTCAACACCAAACCCACCAGCAGCAGAGCAGCTCTGGGCAGGAGGAGAAGCTGCTGCCAGGCTGGTCAATGCTGGCAGCACACCCTGTGGCCCTACCTTGGTGCCCCCCACGCTGATGATCCTGTAGACGTTGCGTGTGGCATCGTAGAAGTAGGAGACAGTCAGGGCGTGTTTGCTGGCAGGGATCCAGTTCCTTTTGGTGGCAGGGTCGATCTGGAAAACATGGGCCCTGGTGCTGAAGATTGGCTGCTCCCTGCAGGAGAGGAGGGGGTTTATTAGTTTTAGCCTGATTTGAAGCTTTCTTTCACCATCTCAGTGTTCACCTCATGGCAATTTCACCAGGAACAGGATTTCTCTGGATTTAACTCTGCTTCTTCCTAGGCTGGAG